TCAAATTTTTATTCGTGGGACGAATGACTATTTCGAAGTCACAGAAGAGCTTGCTGCACTGCAAAGCATCAAAGGAACAACTACAGGAGAGGATATCTTTCGATTTAAAGCTTTCGTGACTGCAGGGATTCATCAAGTAATAAAATAATTCTCACGACGTTTCGGCCACAACGCAAGCAGCCGTCCTCAGGTGAAACCCAGGTCTGTTGGGGAGACAGCGTCTGAATGAAACAGCACACGAGCTTGGAGCATATATAAGCTGGGTTGGAAGCGGGGGAAAGAGCGCCTTGACAAAATAATTTGCATATCAAGAGGAATTTAGCATATTTATGGGAAATGCAGGAATGTGATTAGTACTACATATGCCCGTGCTGCATATGTAGTACTAATAACATTCCTGCATTTCCCATAAATATGCTAAATTCCTCTTGACATGCATCTCTCCCCTCTGAGACATATCCTCATCTCAGGAACCATGCACTCAAAATGGCAACCATCTTTGGCAGCACTTATGTCTGTGAACAGACTTTTTCCAGAATGAAACATTTGAAATCTCCAACCAGATCTAGACTAATGGATGCACACTTGCATCACTTGTTACGACTAGCAGTGACAAATATGGAACTGGACATTGACCATCTCATTAGCCAAAAGCAGGCCCATAGTTCCCATTGAAATACTGGCAAGTTTGTTGATTTAACTTTACTTGTTCTTCATTTTAAATATTGTATTTGTTCCCGTTTTGTTTCTTCACTTCAAAATAAGATATATGCAGTGTGCATAGGAATTTGTTCATAGTTTTTTTTTAACTATAGTCCGGCCCTCCAACGGTCTGAGGGACAGTGAACTGGCCCCCTGTTTGAAAAGTTTGAGGACCCCTGATCTTGCGAATGACTGAAACTCTAAGCCCCGCCCTCTCTATGCCCCGCCCTCTCTATGCCCCGCCCTCTCTATGCCCCGCCCTTTCAAGTGGTAAGAGTTTCATTCATGGGCAGTTTGTGGTTGCAGAGATATAGCGATTTCAAATCGGGTCCATCGTTTTGAAACACCCTGTATTCAAGTAGTTCCTTACCTCACTATGGTATTCCTTATTATCCTGTGTTTTTATTGTGTATTTAAACCAATAAAGACCAGTTTGTGACCTAACTGGCTTTGGTCTAGGTAGTTTTTCAGTAATAATGCCCATTTCATTGTTCCGGACGCCTGTCATAGGGTATGGGTATAAAAATCATGGTAACTACAACTAAGCTGCCCCTCCGCAAAGGTTATCATATCAGAATGTCCCACACACATGGATGATTACAAAAATAATTACTAGATTTGTCACCTCAGGTGGTACCAATATGTGATTTTTGTTTTGGTCTGGACCCATGGACTACGAGGGATGTTGTGTTCGGGACACGGTGCTTGCGACGCTGTGCTAGGTACACGGTGCTAGGGATGCTGCGCTAGGGTTTCATCTTTAGAACGATGCAACACAAGAAGCTCCGGCCACCATCAGTGCATGCGTGCATGGGTGGGTATCGGTGGTTGTGTGAGTGCAAGAGTACTGGTGTGCGTGCATACCGGTGTGTGCGAGTGCGTAGGTGCGTACCGGCGTGTGCGAGTGTGTACCGGTGTGGATGCCGGCGCGCAGCTGCAGCGGCTGCAGCGTGCCGTTGAGTCGCAGGCCGTCCGTGTTCACCTGCCGCACGGCCGCCACCAGGTCGAGGGCCATACGCGCGATCTCGTGCGCGTGGACGTCGCCGTTCCTCTCGGGCAGCCCGCTCGCCACCATGTACGCATCTCCAATCGTCTCCACCTCGGCGGCACACACAGGGTGGGGGGGAGACGGGGAGGCGCTCGTCAACGGGTCCATGGCGGAGGCTTCCTCCTGCCCTCGCCGTGCGGAGGGGGCACCGGTGAGGTCCCACGTCTGAAGCGTGGGGCGTGAGGACTGAATGCGCTCCGGAGATTTTGACGGCTGTCGATCGGCCGCGAGAGGAGAGACCGCGGCAGCCACGCGGTGGCAATGCTGTGGGCGTGCTAGCGGGTGCTAGGGGTGACATCATCGCCACCCACCGCACCGACCAATCGGCTGCCAGAACGACCCCCCCGCCCACCAATGCAGCACGGCCGCAACATGACGGCGTCACTCGGTGCCGAGGGAATTGAGTTTATATTTTTAACGACTATTGTCTTTGGTCATTCATTGCATCGATATTGTTGTAAATCTTAATGTCAACTTTGTCAAGTTATGTTTTTTGTTACCGGTTTACTTTTTTTTTACTTTGGCAATTGATGTGCGAGTGAGCTGGGCCGAGCAACCTTCAGTTCTCTCTTGAATTCCGAGGTCTATTTGGATGTATCGGCGGTACATCGGTGCAGCATAACACAACCGGTCCTCATAAAACCGTCTAAAATCAACATATGAATCAGCAAATCTGTTTTTATCGGTCTTTAATTGACCCTGTCGCCAAGTTTGATGTGCTTTGAAAGTTTATTCAGCCAACTAAAAAAGGTTAACATTGACCGTTGGGATTTGGGTCCGTTGAGTCGAGGAACTGTCCGACCAAGCCTAGGGCACAAGGAGACGAAGCTGTTTTTGGAACACGGAGCCAGCCGATCGTCATCAGGCTGGGTGTTGCTATATGGCAACAGACTATGAAGCTTCGTGTTAGGCCGCTCCTATAAGCATTCGTCTTCTGACTGCTTCCACATCATGAGAACCGATGTTGACGCACCACCACCAATATCTTCTGACTGGGGGTTGCAAATGATGGGGAAAATACATAATTATTGTGAAAAATGCGATTTTTTTCCCCCCAACCCCCTTGTGGAGTTGGAGATCGTCAGAAGTTTTAGCGCATACGTGATACTCGAGCTTCCCAAGTCAGCCCGAAAGAGTGGCATCACCTTTAAATATTCTGCCCGAATAAAAACAAGAAAACACACAGAAAAATGTAGCGTTGCCCTCAGCAATCATTTTGACAAGTCGCAGTCCAGTCACAAAAGGTGGGTCACCAAGCTTAACTACCACTGTTGGCATTACCCAACATACCGTTCTCACTAGCAATTGAAACGTTTGCAAATTTTAACTCGCGCTTATTTTAGCCAAGAAAAGCTCTCGGCGTGGGCACAGCATGAAGCATCGCGTGATAGGGCTCAGCGGAGAGAGGACGGTGGGTAGGCACAGCCGAGAGCAGGTGGTCGGCACAGCGGAGGGTGGTGGGCACAGCGGAGGGTGGTGGGTACAGCGGAGAGAGGGCGATGGGCACAGCTAAGAGAGCGTGGTGGGCACAGCGTGAAGCATTACGTGATGGGGCACAGTGGCCGTCTTTGTTTGCGCCCGCTAAAAGGGTCACCGTCAGGTTAAACCCCCACGACGTCGACCTGGAAACGTCGTTCCACAGTGACAGCGCATATTGCTCTGCTACCAGTGTTGCCGTGTCTCTGCGCAGGACGGGGCTCTCGGTCAGCGCAGTCGCGACATTGTCGGTGGAACGTTTTTCAAAGCGGCCCTCTATTTATAAAAAAAAAAATATCTGCAGCACTCCATGGAAATACAAGTGTCAAGCCACCACCGATGAAGTTAATGCCTCGGTATTTCACCGTCGTCTTCATTTAATCGATGCGAAGAGCGTGTTCCGGAGAAACTTGTTTCTCAGGACAAGACAAAACGTGTTTTGTCCTGTCAGAGGGAGGTAATGCAGGGGGTAATGCTCGCGCCTCGCAGCAGGAGGCGCCTAGGTTCGACTCCCGACCTTCCACCTGGAGTTTATATCCTTCACCTGTTCTGCACGGGATTCCTCCGGGTTCTCCGATCTTCGCCCACAGCTAAACCCACACACATACAGCCGGACCCTGGCATTTGACCAAACATCCCACGGCTGAAAAAGTTCTGCCTCGATTGGGATTGCACACGGCAGCAGCAACGGGAAACATCGCCGCCCTCAAGCGAGAGCTTGGCAGGACCCTCCTGAACGATGTGAGTCTTGAGACTCGGCCAGTGAGGATTTCCGGGGCTAAACGAGTGGAAGAATAAAAAACAACAACAATAAATCAGCCCCCCCATCTTTCTATCATAATTGGTTTGGCTCATGTTGACAGGGGTGTGCACATGTGCGTCACAACGTGATGTGATGGGGCCCGCGCATTGCTTCAATAAAAATAAAAGTTGATTATCGATTATCATCGATTTTCCGGCAGTCTCGGGGCCGATTCAGCAAAACCGCTCCAAAGGCTATCGGCACCACAAATATTATATACAGTACATTATACACTACATACAACTTAAACAATGAAAATACTGCACGTCTATATACATCACCCCATGCAGAGTCTTCGAGATTGGAGTGGTAAGTACGGTGCAGTAAATACTTTTTAAAGTAGGATGTAAATTTTTGTCTATTTGTATGTATATTTATGCCAATTTCATGGAGTAAATACATTTCAAGCACTGAAACAAAAACCCATTTAAGAACACCTAAAAATACGTCATCAAAGGATGCACCAAAATCTGCCGAATTATAATCGATGATCGACCGTAAAAAAAGATAAATCAAGAAAGCGAAGTGAGGAGCGTCGTTGCGCATGGTGGCGGCACTACCTTGTAGACATCGTAGGCCTCGATGCGTCTGTCGAAGCACATGTAGAGCGCGTTGAGTAGCTCGACGACCTGCAGCGGCGAGCAGCGCGCCGCGATCTCCGTGAATCGCACCACGTCCGAGAAGAAGATGGTCACCTGCGCGGGAATGGCGGATGGGGGGTACCGTTCGCGTCGTCGTCGGCGTCACACAGGTAATAGCATCGAGGGGCGATGTTGCTGCTGCCGCCGCTGCTGCTTGCCGTGTGATTGTTCAGCATTGCGATGTTGTTTGTTGATGTCATTTTAGCTATGTGAGGAAGCGCAAGCACCCGGAGGAACCCCATGCAGTAACAGGTGGAGAGAGAGAACGTACAGACCCTACTGCACCCTGCCTCTCACGGTGGCTATGATCATGTGCTGCGGCTCCTATCGATGATGTAACGTGTCATTAATTCGTTTCGATTCCGCGGATGCTGCTGCTACTAATTAATTACACAATTTGCTGATGCAGCTGCCCAAGGCTGCTACTTGATAGCGCCGCTGCCGACGGTTATGAGCTGCGGCCACATGCGGGTGAATATGCAGGCGGTTGCTTATGAAGCTCATTCGCCAGGCGACTTCAATACAGCCGCTCAAATCCGTGCAAGAACTAGGGAGAGAAGGTACAGACTCCCCAAACGGACAGGCGCCCGAGTCAGGAATGGAGCCCAGGTGATCGTTCGCCACCGGGCCCGCTGCCCTGGAGCCCATCGCTCTGCTTACTGTGGATCGGATCTTGAAACGCTTTGTGCACCACTCATCGTTGAGCTGCTCTTGCGCCGTATGTAGTCGACCGCGCTAATCGGAGGTCGTGTAGTGGAGTGCTCTGTGCATCCTGGACTATCGCAGGGAGGAGCCGATAACCCCCCCCCCCCCATGTCAGAGAACGGTCTGTAGAAGCAGCCCTCGCGGAACTGCTTTTGAATTTATTTCAGGCGAGTCTCTTGTCCGCACCGTGTAGCAGCGCTTTCCCACACAGCCTGCCACAGAAACAAATTCTTGTCGGGTGACAGGCTGATATACTTACTGACATGGGACCTCCCTTTCCAGTATCAAAATATAAGGGTAAACCTATTCTGCTCACCCCGAGCTCTCAATGTCCTGATAGTGGCATTTTCTTTGTGCTGTTCGCCTTTTGGCGTCTTCTGGTCTAACACTGTTTGAGACTAGCCTCTAAAGAAAACTGTCTCTGGTGTGGACCAATCAGTTAAAAATACAATGCATATGTAATGACAGGGTGACACCTGCCGAACTGTAAGGGTAATTATGGTTATAGCTAGAATACATAATCCCTTATTATGAAGGGGCGTATCTGGGGTAAAGGTCAAGGGCGGAGTCAGTCGGAAGATCCGGGAACTATCCCGAACAGTCTAGAAGGTTTTGGAAAGGGGGCGTGGCCATAGGTGGAGCTTGGCCATGCCAGCAGATATCAGGAGCACCGGACCAGAACTTCGAGGCTATTAGTGTGGGGTCTGGGTCCTGGTTGTGTCTCTGGCATCGTCCTCTCTTCGTCTTCGACCACGTGGCTGTTCTCCTGCAAGACCAGCTCCGTCGCCGCTGCTGCACTCGTCAACCAGCCAGCATAGTGCAGGACGGAGATGGGCTGCGTGTTTGGACAGCCTGGATGTAGCCGCGTTACCAAGTGTATTGCCCTGTGTGCCCTTAATAAATAAGAAGCCTACTAGAAGTGCGTCGGAAGTGGCTCACTACACATATACTACCAGAGCATGTTTTTTGTTTGTTTGCATGTTCGCCACAAGTATGTGTGGTTAATGCAGACATGATTCCTTTGCAAAATGTTTCAGTTTGGTGTTTTAACATCTGAACACAACTGTTTATTGCTGAAAAGGGTAAAACATATTCTAATATACTTACCGTTCGCAGTTGGATTTCGGCTAAACTCAGCGCAGATCCTAGCATAACGTTACGTTATTGTTTATGTATTTAATGCAGATGCCGTTGCACCTTGACTCTCTGCAGTGCGTTGGTACAGAATAATTTTAGTCAGGGTCAGAGCTCTGGAAATTTCTCCCCCCACCCAAAATACTCCACGAGCAATCAACCGATCCAGCACTGGTGGTCTGCTTCACGAAGCATCAACAGCAGAGATAGTGTTAACTGTCGGCAGTTGGAGCCTGGTAGGGAGGGGAACGCGCTCCCCCGAGAGTCTGTGCCACCGCGGAGAAGTGAATTCAGCTCGCGTGCCAGGCACGAGCTGGCTCGGTGTGGTGCGGTGTGGCATGGTAAGTTCGGTGTGGTGTGAAACGGTGTGGTATAGTGTGGTGTGGTGTGGTGCGGTGTGGCGTGGCGCGGTGTAGTGTGGTGCGGTGTGGTGTGGCGTGGCATAGTGTAGTGTGGCACGGTGTAGTATGGTGCGGCCTGGAATGGTATGGTGTGACACGGCTATAGCGCGGTGTCATGTGGAGCGGTGTGGCACGGTGTAGTGTGGCGTGACTCGCCTTGTCGAAGCTCTCTGCCTGCACGTGGTGGCTGGCGCGCAGCTGGGCGGCGACGGCGCGGGGCAGCATCTCGTGCAGGAGCTCCTCGGCGCGCGCTCGTTCAGCGCGCAGCCGGTGCGTGCGGCCCGAAAGGCGGCGCGCTCGCGCGCACAGCCACGCAGTCACGCGCGCGAACGAGGAGAGCGCGAGCGCATGTGCCGCGCACGACGCCAGCGCCAGCACCAGCAGCTGCGGCGGAGGGATTGCGGTGGGGTGAGGGAGACGCAGACCGCGTCATGGGGTTATCTCCGCAGCGGCGAGATGCGCCGGCAGATCGGCAAAGCGCTCTACCGACAGCGCGATCGTTAAGCATCCCCAACGTGCCCATGGGGTGCGAAATAAGTTAAATGTACGCGGGAAGGGAGCGCGGTGCGGGGAGCGCTCACCAGGCTGAGGCCTGACAGGACATCGCGCCGCATGTCCCCAAGGGAGGCAGCCGCCCGCCGCACGAGGCAGCGCTCCAGCGCCACCACGGGCAGCAGGGCCAGCTCCACTCGGGCGGGCGGGCGCTCCTCCTCCTCTTCGTCCGGCGAGCAGCTGCAGTTGCGGCCGCTCAAGATGGCCAGAAGGATGTCCTCTCCACGTGGCCCGGCGCTCCCGCAGTCGCGAGACCGCTCGCGGGGCTCCCGCTCCATGCCTGCGGCCGAGTCGCGGCCTCCCGGGTAACACGCTTCGGCGCAGCGGGCGAAGTGCGGCGAGACCGACCACGCCACGTGAAAGTAGTCGGACCCCATGGCGGCAGCGGCGGCCGCCCCCGGGGCCGGCAGAGACAGCGCCTCGGCCAGGGCCCGGCGAGACACGAGCTCCCGCAGCGCGAGCAGGGCGCGGTAGGCAAGCGCGTCGCGCAGGTGCTGGTTGCGGTGGAGCGCCTGCACGCTCGCCGCCCAGTCGATCGCCCGGTCCGCCGCCAGCGAGTACTCCCGCAGGACGTCGCCGCCGCTGGAGTTCGCCCGAAACGACGAGTGGCCGAGCCCGACGTCGGCGCCGTTCTCCGCTGCGCCTTCCCCCGAGCCGCAGTCCTCGAACATGGCTCCGAAGATGATAGCGATTAATTTGTGCACGGCAGTTGGACGCGAGGGTCCCCCGCCGCCCCTCGCTCCAGCCTCGATTGTGTCACCCGTCGGACTCCCACTCTCCGCGGGGATGTCACCGAGCAGCTCTCCTCCTGCCGACGGGTCACGCCGCTGCAGATTCAAGTCGCGCGATCGTGCAGGTGCCGCCCTGGTGGACGCGGGATCCCAAGTAAATTCCCAGCTCGCATCCTCCTCCTCCGCACCATCGATTTCGGTCTGCGTTTGCGACGCCCAAAATTCAACTTCCTCCCTTTTGAAAGTCACCGCCGGGTTTTCCCAGCTGCCTGCAAGCGCCACGCCAACACCGCCGTGATTCTCGCCACCATCGCCAAGCTCGCCGGGACGAGACGACGCGGACTCCAAAACGCTGCCCTGAGCTCCCTGAGGGCTTGGGCCCGCCGCGGGCTCGGCACGGGCAGCACGTTGTGGTTGCTGGAGGCGCATGAGGTGGGCCCTCCTCTCACTCTGCAGCTGGGCCAGGCGAGCGTGCAGGCTGCCGAGGCCGCAGCCCTGGAGGGAGCAGAGGCGGCACCGCTCGGCGTTGCACAGCTGCTCACAATGCTTGTTCACCCAGGAGAGCCCCACTGAACTGAGTCTCAAGACTGCGTTTCAGGAGGGTCTTGTTAAGTGGTTTTGCAGTAGAGTGGTTTAAGGACCACCATGTGTTTCCCACACAACTCGCGAGTAATTTTTTCGGCAAATTTTGGCCATGACGCAGAACACAAAATGGCCTAACTCTTTTTCAGATTGCTGTGATTTTTTTTTGTTTATGTCCATTGTGAAGCGGACGGTTCATCGTGAAGCGGAGATTTTACACGGTATGGGGGGTTGACGTTGCTGTGCCTAATCCCGATCGAGTAGTATTTAGGTGATTTTGCCGCATTGGGATGTTTTGGCTTGTGCCGGTTCCACTTTTTTCGGTCGTTTTTAGCTACAAGAGTAGGAAACCGGAGAACCCGGAGGAAACGCATGCGGGGGGACAGGGGTGGGAGAACATGCAAACTCCACGCGGAAAGGGCGCCCGAGTCGAGAATTGAACCCGGGACCTTCTCGCTGTGAGGCGCAAGTATTACCACCGCGCAGTCACCACCCTGCTCAGCAGCAGCAGCAACATAATAACAAATGTACGTTATTAGTTTAAAAACGTCAAAAAGTCTCCACTTGTTCGCCATTCCTTATCAACACACGCGTGGAATCTTCTCCAGGTGGCCTCCAGAGCCCGGAGGCAGCACATTTCCTGTGGTGTTGTTGCAAATTCTCAGAAGTACTCACATTGTTTTGAAGCCCCCTGTATAGGAGAGCGCATGGCGAGTGCTACTCCTGGATGAGTCACCCCCATGCATTGCGATTAACTTTGACCGATCGGCACCGGGACTGTCGTGGTGAAGTATGGTCTCACATTCCTCCCCCACTGGCAGTGAAATCCCCTGAGTCGCTTGCCATCATCCATGGGGTGGGGGGGGTTGAGCAAGGGGGTGAGGCTTCAGTCGAGCGTGGAGCGTTACTCCATTGTATCCCCCTGTGTGAGTGTGTGGAGCGTGTACCCCATTGTATACCCTTTGTGTGAGTGGAGCGTTACCCCATTGTATGCCCCTGTGTGTAGCGTGTACCCCATTTTATCCCCTGTGTATCAATGGGTATCTTAGCGTCACCCACAGCCGGCTGCTTGGATTGGACGTGTGGGTGGACTCAGGGGTGGTTTCTTCATTAGGGCGATTGGGCGACGCACCACCAATGTCATTCAACCACAGAGTCACGCTAGCCGTCACTGTGCCTCTGGATATAGTCCAATCAGCGTCATGTCACGTTCTGTGGAGTACCGCCTCTTTTTGGGCGATTTCACTCCGGCTGAGAATCGCCCCGAGTGGCCCCATAGACTTACATTCAAAGATGTTTTTTTTCGACCGGGGGGCGCTGCAATGCATTCTCTATGGCTTCCGGGAGGGCTCGCCCTAGCGTGCTTACGTCATCATACGTAAGCACGTTTCATCCAACAATATAATTTGTCGCCACCTAGTGGAATCTTTAATAAAATAAACTTGAGTGGATTGTATTAATAGTGAGTATAGAAACAGACAAGATGTATTGTAAGAGTCACTTTATTTTTCATTAATATTAAAGAAGTGAAGTTGCCTTTACATGCTTAAGCTGTTAATTTATCCATTGCATGGGTGGACCTTATCCTTATCAATCATCCAGACATTTGCTCCCCCTGAGAGATTTAGCAGGATCCGCCACTGGGTGGACTATAGTGTGTGTGGGTGGACTATGGTGCGTGTGGGTGGACTATGGTGCATGTGGGTGGACTATAGTGTGTATGGGTGGACTATGGTGCGTGTGTGTGGACTATGGTGTGTGTGGGTGGACTATGGTGCGTGTGGGTGGACTATGGTGCGTGTGGTTGGACTATGGTGCGTGTGGGTGGACTATGGTGCGTGTGGGTGGACTATGGTGTGTGTGTGTGGACTATAGTGCATGTGGGTGGACTACGGTGCATGTGGGTGGACTATGGTGCATGTGGGTGGACTATAGTGCGTGTGGGTGGACTATGGTGTGTGTGGGTGGACTATGGTGTATGTGGGTGGACGATTGTGCGTGTGGGTGGACTATGGTGCGTGTGGGTGGACTATGGTGTGTATGGGTGGACTATGGTGTGTGTGGGTGGACCATGGTGTGTGTGGGTGGACTATAGTGTGTGTGGGTGGACTATAGTGCGTGTGGGTGGACTATGGCGTGTGTGGGTGGACTATGGTGTGTGTGTGTGTGGACTATGGTGCGTGTGGTCTATGGTGCGTGTGGGTGGACTATGGTGCATGTGGGTGGACTATGGTGCGTGTGGGTGGACTATGGTGCGTGTGGGTGGACTATGGTGCGTGTGGGTGGACTATAGTGTGTGTGGGTAGACTATGGTGCATGTGGGTGAACAATGATGTGTGTGGGTGGACTATGGTGCGTGTGGGTGGACTATGGTGCGTGTGGGTGGACTATTGTGTGTGTGGGTGGACTATGGTGCATGTGGGTCGACCATGGTGTGTGTGGGTGGACTATGGTGTGTGTGGGTGGACTATGGTGTGTGTGGGTAGACTATGGTGTGTGTGGGTGAATTATGGTGTGTGTGGGTAGACTATAGTGCATGTGGGTGGACTATGGTGCGTGTGGGTGGACTATGGTGTGTGTGTGTGTGGACTATGGTGCGTGTGGTCCATGGTGGGTGTGGGTGGACTATGGTGCATGTGGGTGGACTATGGTGCGTGTGGGTGGACTATGGTGTGTATGGGTGAACTATGGTGTGTGTGGGTGGACTATGGTGCATGTGGGTGGACTATGGTGCATGTGGGTGGACTATGGTGCGTGTGGGTGGACTATGGTGCGTGTGGGTGGACTATAGTGTGTGTGGGTAGACTAGGGTGCATGTGGGTGGACTATGATGTGTGTGGGTGGACTATGGTGCGTGTGGGTGGACTATGGTGCGTGTGGGTGGATTATGGGGTGTGTGGGTAGACTATAGTGCATGTGGGTGGACTATGGTGCGTGTGGGTGGACTATGGTGTGTGTGTGTGGACTATGGTGCGTGTGGTCTATGGTGGGTGTGGGTGGACTATGGTGCGTGTGGGTGGACTATGGTGTGTATGGGTGAACTATGGTGTGTGTGGGTGGACTATGGTGCATGTGGGTGGACTATGGTGTGTGTGGGTGTACTATGGTGCGTGTCGGTGGACTATAGTGCGTGTGGGTGGATTATGGTGCGTGTGGGTTGACTATGGTGCGTGTGGGTGGACTATGATGTGTGTGGGTAGACTATAGTGCGAGTGGGTGGACTATGGTGTGTGTGGGTGGATTATACTGTGTGGTTGGACTATAGTGTGTGTGGGTGGACTATGGTGTGTGTGGGTGGACTATAGTGTGTGTGGGTGAACTATGGTGTGTGTGGGTGGACTATATTGTGTGTGGGTGGACTATGGTGTGTGTGGGTGGACTATAGTGCGTGTGGGTGGACTATGGTGCGTGTGGGTGGACTATGGTGCATGTGGGTGGACTATGGTGCGTGTGGGTGGACTATGGCGCGTGTGGGTGGACTATGGTGTGTGTGTGGACTATGGTGCGTGTGGTCTATGGTGCATGTGGGTGGACTATGGTGCATGTGGGTGGACTATGGTGCGTGTGGGTGGACTATGGTGTGTGTGGGTGGACTATGGTGTGTGTGGGTGGATTATGGTGTGTGTGGGTAGACTATAGTGCATGTGGGTGGACTATGGTGCGTATGGGTGGACTATGGTGTGTGTGTGTGGACTATGGTGCGTGTGGTCTATGGTGGGTGTGGGTGGACTATGGTGCATGTGGGTGGACTATGGTGCGTGTGGGTGGACTATGGTGTGTATGGGTGAACTATGGTGTGTGTGGGTGGACTATGGTGCATGTGGGTGGACTATGGTGCGTGTGGGTGGACTATGGTACGTGTGGGTGGACTATGGTGCGTGTGGGTGGACTATAGTGCGTGTGGGTGGACTATAGTGTGTGTGGGTAGACTATGGTGCGTGTGGGTGGACTATGATGTGTGTGGGTGGACTATGGTGCGTGTGGGTGGACTATGGTGCGTGTGGGTGGACTATTGTGTGTGTGGGTGGACTATGGTGCATGTGGGTGGACCATGGTGTGTGTGGGTGGACTATGGTGTGTGTGGGTGGACTATGGTGTGTGTGGGTAGACTATGGTGTGTGTGGGTAGATTATGGGGTGTGTGGGTAGACTATAGTGCATGTGGGTGGACTATGCTGCGTGTGGGTGGACTATGGTGTGTGTGTGTGGACTATGGTGCGTGTGGTCTATGGTGGGTGTGGGTGGACTATGGTGCATGTGGGTGGACTATGGTGCGTGTGGGTGGACTATGGTGTGTATGGGTGAACTATGGTGTGTGTGGGTAGACTATGGTGCATGTGGGTGGACTATGGTGCGTGTGGGTGTACTATGGTGCGTGTCGGTGGACTATGGTGCGTGTGGGTGGATTATGGTGCGTGTGGGCTGACTATGGTGCGTGTGGGTGGACTATGGTGTGTGTGGGTGGACTATAGTGCGAGTGGGTGGACTATGGTGTGTGTGCGTGGATTATAGTGTGTGGGTGGACTATAGTGTGTGTGGGTGGACTATGGTGTGTGTGGGTGTACTATAGTGTGTGTGGGTGAACTATGGGGTGTGTGGGTGGACTATATTGTGTGTGGGTGGACTATGGTGTGTGTGGGTGGACTATAGTGCATGTGCGTGGACTATAGTGCGTGTGGGTGGACTATGGTGCATGTGGGTGGACTATGGTGCGTGTGGGTGGACTATGGCGCGTGTGGGTGGACTATGGTGTGTGTGTGGACTATGGTGCGTGTGGTCTATGGTGCATGTGGGTGGACTATGGTGCATGTGGGTGGACTATGGTGCGTGTGGGTGGACTATGGTGTGTGTGGGTGGACTATGGTGTGTGTGGGTGGACTATGGTGCTTGTGGGTGGACTATGGTGTGTGTGGGTGTACTATGGTGCGTGTGGGTGGACTATGGTGTGTGTGT